TCATATGATATGTATATGGGTGTATTATGTGAGAATGATCTTATCCTAGGTAATCTATAGGATCTCTTAAGTGTCTGTGAAAGGGATTGTATGGGCGGTCGCTTCACAACTCACTCAAGTGAATCTTCAAATCACCTTTTGTAAGAGGATCTCATGTTTATGTGCATGATATATTGTAAGTGTGTGTATCTCATTAAGGTGGTTTTAAGAATTATTTAGGTGTGCCTAGAGAGGTTTTATGGGAGGTCCCTCTTTGTCTTACTTAGGTGAGTCTTAGGATAGCTTTAGTGAGGGAATTATATGCTAGAAATTGTTATGTAAATTTGATAGGATTCACTTTCACACTGAAGAAGTTCACTATAACAGTAAATTAGTTCACGGTAAGTTGTTTCTAAATATGTGAGAATTAAGTGACTTCATATGTGTTTCTAAGATCTTAAATGTTTTTCTTGTGCTTATGTTATGATATACAAATCAAAAGATGCATATTTCCAATAAATGTCCGATTCATGATTTTTTTCATTATGTCATACTTAGTACATGTGTTTGTACTAATTTCATGCTTTTATATATCTCTAAAGTGATTTATAGGAAAAGGTGTTTTTGGGAGCTAAGCTTGGATTAGAAGATTGTTCAAGCAAATTGAAGTATGTCCTCATTTGACTCGAGGGCATAAATGTCTTTAATTTCTTTTATTGAAGTATTGCAATAGACTAAGTATTTCTATATTCGTATTATATGGGTCATGTCCCAAGTATTCTTGTGTCTAATATTTGATGAAATAAGACTTAGTATTTCCTATGAGTTTTATATGAAAGATATTTATAAAGACTTATAGAATGTTGTGAAAAGTTTTAATTCCGTACTACTTTTCATATGTTTATATGCGACGAAAGATACTGAAGGGCTTGTACAAGACCTCCAAGAGGTCAAGTACGCCGGTCCAGGACCTAAGGCATTCCCTAACTTCTAGGATGAGGGTCGTGACAGTATTGGTCTAAATTGCTATATATGGTTATGACCACCTATGATGATATGTGTTATGAAGTAAGGCACTACTTATGATCTCCTACCTAATTTACTTGATAGTGTGGGGTTATGGGGCTTCACATGAGCATTGTACTTGTAAGCTTGGGATGGGATTGTTGATAAGGGTCTTGAATGTTTATGATATAAACTAATGAACTTGAAATGCTAATATGAATTTATGATGATGTTGTACTTGTTAATGAACATGTCTTATGTTGTGATCCTTGTCTTGTATATGCCTTATTTATGTGGATAGAGACTTTCAAAATGACTTAGCATGTTTCTAAAGAGATGGTCCCTTTCATGCATGTCTTCAAATTATTTAATGTGCATATATTCGTACTTTAAATAAGTGGTGTACTAACCAATTAATTCTATTTTTTCTACAAATATGTAGGTTCCGGTCATTGAGTTCGTAGGAGGCCAATTGAAAAAGATTTAAACTCTTCCCTCCAAGTGTTGGTAGATCCTCATGTTCGGGGATGTTACATTTTCTATGCTCTAGCCTTGAAGTTGTATTGTCATAAAGACATTGTTCCTTCCTTTATCATTTGAATATTAATGTAAACCTATAATGGCATATTGACTTTGTATTGACTATGTCCAACAATTGTACTTATGTAGATGGTTCAATATGAGACAAAGTAATAGACTAATTCCTATGTATCGATTATGTTGTCTAAATGAGAAGCCTATGTAAGCTTCATGTGTGAGGAGTCTAAGTAAACTTCGTACGTAGTACGTGATATGCCGATGTAAACCTCACTATATATCTATGAAAAAATTTAATTTTTTCGCATTTTAACCTGTGAAATGTAATGACGAATGCTAAGAGGCTAGTCTTAGTCCTCTCCGAGCATGACGACGCCGGTTACTTCTAAGGGGTGCTCCCTGGTCGTGATAAACTTTGTATCTAACCATGAGGTTAAGAAATCTTAAGATTAACGTCATCGAACCACGTTTACGTAGAGTCTTGTTCATGGGTGTGAAACGCGCCATACTTATGGATAAGAGGCTATATGGTGCTTAGGAATTCTCACTTATTGGTAATCTAGAAAGTCATGTCGTGTCCATTTATTCTAATCCTTTTCTTGTGAATATAGAAGATGAATACTAGAAGGATGACTACAAGGAGAGTGGAGGAAGATTTGGCTAATGCAGGAGCGCCTCCTTAAGGCAACCAAGCTCCTCCACAAGATAATCAAGTGCATCTATAAGACCAAGTTCCGGTCATTCCTCCACCTATGACGGATCTAGATATAAGGTCGGAATTTGTGACTTTGTCTCAATCTATGACTACCCAAGCACAAGCGGTAGATACTCAAGCTTAAGACATGATGGATCAAGCAAATAGGGAGGTTGGACCCCGTGTTCAACAAAATGCAAGCAGTAAGGCTTCCCGCTTGAGGGACTTCACTAGAATGAACCCTCCTATGTTCTATGAGTTGAAGTGAATAAGTACCCCCAAGCCTTCATTGATGAGGTCTACAAGATTCTTTGTGCTATTGAGGTTGAATTCAAATTAAAAGGCCAAGCTAGCTTCCTATCAACTCAAGATGTAGCTCAAACATGGTACACCCAATGGAGAGACAATAGGGCCTTGAAAGCGGGTCCTATCACTTGGGAAGTTTTTAGAAGAGATTTCCTTGATCGGTTCTTACCTAGGGAGAAAAGAGAGGCCAAAGTAGAGTAATTAATCAACCTTCATCAAGGAGGTAGAAGTGTGCAAGATTACTCCTTGAAGTTCACCAATTATCCAAGTATCCTCCTTTCTTGGTGTCTAACCCAAGGGATGAGATGAGTCCCTTTGTTATGGGAGTGTTTGATGATTTTGTTAAAGAGTGTTAAATGATGCTCCATGAAGACATAGATATTTCTAGGTTGATGTTCCATGCTCAAAAGTTGAGAAAACTCGACTGAAGAGGAAGAATAGGGAGTTTAAGAGGGCCAAGACATTTGAGGGAGGTACTTCCAAGGGTAGGCTTGAAATTCAAGACAAGCCTAGGTTTGAGAAGAGGTTTTCCAACCAATTTCCTTCCAAATTTCTCAAGTCTAACAAGGATAGGGTGTCTAACACTAAGTCCCAAAAGGGAAGAAGCGGGAATTCACCTAGCAAGAAACCTAATTGTGCGAAGTTTGGTAAAAAGCATTGGGGTGAGTGTCTAGTTGGGACGAAAAATTGCTTTGGGTTTGGAAAGAGTGGTCATAAGGTTAGGTATTTTCCTAATGTGAGGAGTAAAGAGAAGGGGAGTGGTCAATCTCAAGCAAGCGTTACTAGTTCCGAAGATCTAAAGAGGAACAGCTTCTATGCTCTATGCTCTAGGGGTGAACAAGAGGAGTCTCCCTGTGGTCACCGGTATGTTACAAGTCTTCTCTATTGATGTTTATGTTTTACTAGATCTCGGTTCTACTTTATAATTTCTAACTCCTCTAGTAGCTAGAAAGTTAGATGTTCTATGCAATGTGTTGATTGAAACTTTTTCGCTTACTACCCCAGTGGGTGACTCCGTGGTGGCTAGAAGAATCTTTAGGAGTTGTCCTATATCTTTGTCCAATAGAGTTACATCGGTGGATTTGGTAGAACTTGATATGGTTGATTTTGATGCTATTTTGGGAATGAATTGGTTTCATGCTTGCTTTACTTTAATTGATTATCAAACAAGGGTAGTCAAGTTCAAATTTCCTAATGAACCCGTCTTAAAGTGGAAAGAAGGTAACTCAATTCCTAGAGGTTGTATCATTTCTTTTTTATGGATCGTTAGATGATTTCTAAAGGGTGTTTATGCCATATTGTAAGAGTCAAAGATCTAGACTTCAAAAATCCTCCTGTTGAGTTAGTCCTCGCAGTGAGGGAACTTCCAGGAGTCTTTCCACATGACTTGCTAGAAATTCCTCCCAAACAGGAAAGTGAATTTTGTATTGACTTATTACCGGATACGAATCCCATTTCAATTCCTCCTTACCGTATGGTTTCGGAAAAAATGAAAGAGTTGAAGGCTCAACTCAAATATTTACTATATAAAGGTTTCATTCAACCTAGTAGTTCTCCATGGCGTGCTCCGGCATTATTTGTGAAGAAGAAGGATGGGTCCCTTAGGATGTGCATTAATTATCATCAACTCAATAAGGTCACCATTAAGAACAAGTATCTTCTCCCTCATATTGATGACTTGTTTGATAAACTCCAAGGGGAAAGCTACTTTTTTAAGATTGACTTGAGATTGGGGTATCACCAACTTATGGTGAGAGGTGAGGATATACCTAAAACGGCTTTCTGAACTAGGTATGATTACTATGAGTTCCTAGTGATGTCCTTTGGTTATGGACCTAATGAATAGGGTGTTTTAAGACTACCTTGATTGTTTTGTGATTGTTTTCATTGATGATATCTTGGTATATTCAAAGAATGAGGTGAACACGTGGACCATTTAAGGGTGGTAATTCAAGTCCTTAAAGAACACCAACTATTAGCTAAGTATAGAAAGTGTGAGTTTTGGTTGAGATCGGTGGCGTTTCTTGGTCATACTATCTCAAGTGAGGGTACAGAGGTCGATCCAAAGAAAACTCGGGTGGTTAAGAATTGACCTAGACCATTGACTCCAATCAACATTAGAAGTTTCTCGGGTTTATCCGGGTACTATAGGAGGTTTATGGATGGGTTTGCGTCCATTGCTTCTCCTTTGACTACCTTAACCCAAAAGAGTGTTAAATTTGAGTGGTCGGAGGCATGTGAAAGAAGCTTCCAAATTTTAAAAGATAGGCTTACCTCCGCTGCAGTGTTAACTTTACAAGAAGGTACCAAGGGTTTTGTGGTATATTGTGATGCATCTCGAGTGGGCTTAGGGTGTGCCCTTATGCAGCATAGGAAGGTAGTAGCCTATGCCTCTAGACAACTCAATGTACAGGAAAAGAATTATCCAAAACTCATGATCTTGAGTTAGCGGTCATTGTGTTTGCCTTGGAAGTACGACATGAGTATTCTCTACCACCCTGGCAAGGCCAATGTTGTTGCAGGTGATCTAAGTCGTATGACCATGGGTAGTGTGTCTCATGTGGAAGAGGGTATGAAAGACCTAGTCAAAGATGTTCATAGGTTGGCTAAATTGGGTGTTCGGTTGGAATATTCCCCAAATGGTGCCTTTATGGTTCATAATAACTCTGCATCATCTTTAGTGCTTGAGGTGAAGTCTAACCAACATCTTGATCCACTATTGATGGAGTTGAAGAAATTGGTACTTAGAAAGGTTAATGAGTTATTCTCCCGAGGGGTGGTGTGCTAAGGTACCAAGGTAGATTATGTGTACCGGATGTTGATGATTTGAGGAATAGGGTGTTAGAAAAAGCTCATGGTTCCCGATATTCTATCCATCCAGGTTACACCAAAATGTATCGTGATCTCAGAGAGGTATATTGGTGGGATGGCCTAAAAAGAGACATAACTGAGTTTGTAGCTAGCTGTCCAAATTTCCAACAAGTAAAAATCGAGCATCTAAAGCCGAGTGGCTTGACCCTTGGAAGTTCCTACTTGGAAGTGGGAGGAAATTATTATGTAATTTTTGGTGGGGTTGCCTCGAAAATGGAGTCAAAACGACTCAGATTGGATTATTGTGGATAGATTGATGAAATCCACTCACTTTATCCCCATCAAGTCTACTTATTCGGCAGAGGATTATGCCAGGATCTACATATACGAGACTGTGAGTCTTCATAGTATTCCTTTTTCACTTATATCGGATAGAGGTGCATAATTCACTTCTCGCATTTGGAGGTCTTTTAAAAAAGGGTTGGGTGCACAAGTAAAGCTTAGCACCGCTTTTCATCCCCAAACAGATGGTCAAGCGGAGAGTAATATTAAAATCCTATAGTATATGTTAAGAGCTTGTGTGATGGACTTCAAAGGGAATTGGAACAGTCACTTGTCATTGATTGAGTTCTCCTATAACCATAGCTACCATTCGAGTATTTCCATGGATGAATTTGAAACACTCTATGGTTGGATATATTGCTCTTCGTTTTGGTGGTTTGAGGTGTGTGAGTAATCACTCCTTGGACCCGGAATAGTCTATTATTCTTTAGAGAAGGTTCATGTTATAAGGAATAGGTTGAAAATAGCTTATAGTCGGTAAAACTTGTATGCCGACAATAGAAGAAGAAACCTTGAATTTGAAGTGGGTAATAAAGTGTATTTGAAGATTTCACCTATGAAAGGTGTGATGAGATTCGACAAAACAGGGACGTTAATTCCCCGGTTTATGGGTCCCTATGATGTTTTACAAAGGTTCTGAAAGGTTGCATACGAGTTGAGACTACCTAATGAACTAGCTTCGGTTCATCTAGTATACCATATCTCCATGCTTAAGAAGTGTTTGGTGATCCCGTGTCCGTTCTTCCTATTGAAGGGATAGGTGTGGATGAAGACCTTTACTATGAAGAGGTCTCGGTTGAAATTCTAGATTTCCAAGTCAAGAAGTTGAGAAACAAAGTGGTGTCCTCCTTAAAAGTTCTATGGAGAAACCACCTACTTGAGGGAGCAACACGGAAGGCCGAGGCCGACATGAAGTCCCGCTATCCTCATCTTTTTTTCTAATTAAGGTTAGTTGTTCCTATTTTTAATGAAAATAATGAATAAATATGAACTTGGCTTATTGACTAAGTATGTGCATATTTGGTAAAGGTTTGTGTCAAAATTAGTTTTTCTTGAAAAAAAATCTTGTGTTAACTTGCACTAATGTGAAATATATGTTTTTGCCTTCTTGAGATTTTTGGTATTTTAATCATCTTGAGAAGAATAGCATGGTAACTTTTTGTGTCATTTTGAGTTCATGTTGAGGTTGAGAAGGTAGTTCCTCATTATTATATGTTATGAAAAGTTGAGCTCTTATATGTTGTGACTTGTAATTTGAGTTCTATGAGTAATGCCATATTTATGTGTTGAGTGGTGTTGTGAAGTAATCCTATGATATGTAACTCATAATGATTATTTTCTTCTTGTTTTTTGTTGGGTTTCTAGTATTGGGTCTTGTCTCTCCCTATGAAAAGGTTTTGGTGTCATTCGGGGACGAATGTTCCTAAGGGGTGGGTAATGTAACACCTCAAAAGTCTTATGAACTTAGACTAGAGCATCACCTACCAAAAAATGATTAAAATTATGTTACCATACCTAGACTAATATATAAAGTTTATTTAGAAGTATTAGAGCCTCAATTTCAAAGAAAGATATTGATGTTCGGAAATTAGCAAAATTGAACTTGTAGACGTCCTTGTGTTTGGTGAAGGTTTGGGAGTGTCATATGAAGTATAAAACTTTTAAAAATACTTTAAATGTCTAAGATATAGTATATAGGGTCCAAACATCTAGTCACGACTCCCCGAGGAAACCTAACAGGTCCTTGAGAATGACCCAAACTTTGGCGAGCAGGCTGCCAAAGCAGCCTGTGTGCAGCCAAGATTTCAATGCTGCCACACGTCGCGCAGCCTACACTGGATAGGAAAATTTTCCTCAAGACATGGGCCTTCACCAGGCTCTCTACCTCGACGTGGATTTCAGAAAAAATATTTTGAACTTCCCCAGCGACGTGCAGCCACTTCCCAGATTTGTTCGCGTCATTTTTAAATTAATTTGACTTCACAAAAAGACCCAATTAAGTGAGGGGTATTTTGGGTAATTTATGGGGTGAATATATATTCATTAGGTTCAATTTTAAGTTAAAATTAACCACCCAAATCAATTCCCGAAATCTATCTCACTTCTATCTAAATTCTCTCTCTAAGTCAACCACCATTGAAGAGCATTGGAAGCTTGGAGAAGAAGGCCTAATTATCAAATTTTCTTCTCAAATTTCGTGGATTAAGTCTTCCTTAAGGTATGGATTCTTCACTCATGGGTTTCCTTTCCCCAAGAGTTCCTTTCAAAGTTGATTTCAAAATCACCTGATTCCAAGGGTTTTCTTCTACAAACGGGTTTTCTTCTGTATTCAAAATTGATGATTAATTGTGATGAATTGATTACCTATGGTTAATTAAGTGTATATTGTTAAATAATTGATGTTAATTGTGGGATTTTTGTGTAGATCATGTCCTTTCCCCAATTTCCACAAACCTTGGATCTTGTTATGAATTGATGGGAATTGACCAATGTATTGATTGTTAGACTCATTTTAACTATTGTAATTCATTCATGGACTACCTAGGGTCATTTTATTGGTTGGATTGGATCTATTTCTTGAAGAATTCATGATGAACACTTTTCCCCAAATCCTAGGTTATGAGTTAAGGTTAATTTAGCTAGTATAATACAATTGACTTAGTTCTAGTATAGATTACTATTGTATGATGTTATTAAGCCTATTTATGGATGAATATGGTTCGTTTCATTCTAAGACCATTGAAGGAGTATTTTGAAGGTGAATTGGTAAGACTTGTGATCTTGTATCCTTACTTCAATTGTAATGGCTAATACTTGATAATGATGTTCAATAGAAGTATTGTATGTGATCAGATTTAGTACGTGATGGAATGATGAATGCAATGAAATTTCATGACTATATGAATTATGAGATTATGATGATATACTTAAGTGCCTTACTATGATATTATGATGATGATGTCTTAATCTCACAAATAAAGGTTTGTAATGAAAGGACATTCTCATGCAATACCTAATGATCTAATTATATGATATACAAGGAGTTAGTCTCCTATAGCCTATACTAAGTTATGATGATTAATAAAGGCTTAAAGACATTCCAAAAAGGAACTTTAGATTAGCACCGATCGAACAAGATATGAGATGTGTCCCTTCCCAATATGGGAAGGTAGGTTCACAATGGTTCTCATGAAATGGAGAATACATTGCAATTGTTCGTAAAGAGGGTCTCAAGCATGTCTCTTAGTTCTTGAACTGTGTTTCCCCCATAGGAATATTAGCTAGTGGATCCACCTAAAATGCTATGTTCATGTTATGGTACTACCTTGGAAAGTAGACCACCTTTTTTCGGTGTAGGGTTTGATGACACTGGATTTCGCATTTCGCTCATGTGGTCTATGTCGGTTAAGGTAATTGTTCCCGAAGGTAAAATGAAGTAATGAAGATGAGAACCAACTAGGGTGACTTAAGGGGTTTGACTTAGTGTAGGTAGGGTATGGGACTCTATCTATACATTGCACAAGTTAGCCTTGAGGGAAGTTCTAGGAGGTTGTTCTTATGTTATTATGTATTATGATATCATGAAATGTATAATGTTGACTTTATATGAGGTTACACTGATATAATTTTTGGTTACATTGATGAACATGGTATTTGTCTAAATTGTTATATATGTTGATGACTATCTATGATGATATGTGTTATGAAGCAAGGTAGTACTTATGATCTCCTACCTAATTTACTTGATTGTGTGGGTTATGGGGCTTCATATGAGCATTGCACTTGTAATCTTGGGATGTGATTGTTGATAAGGGTCTTCAATTTTGATGATATGAACTAATGAACATGAAATTCTAATGTGACTTTATGATGATGTTGTGCTTGTTAATTAACATGCCTTATGTTGTTGTGATCCTTGTTTTGTATATGCCCTCTTGTATGTACATAGAGACTTTCAAAATGACTTAGCATGTTTCTAAATAAATGGTCCCTTTCAGGCATGTCTTAAAATGATTTTATGTGCATATATCTGTACTTAGTACAAGTGGTGTACTAACCCATTTTTCTATGTTTTCTACAAATATGTAGTTTCGGACATTGAATTCCTAAAAGGCTGATTGAAGAAGATTTGGAATCTTTCCTCCAAGAGTTGGTAGGTTCTCGTGTTCGTGGATATTAACTTTTCTATCCCCTAGACTTGAAGTTGTATTGTCATAAAGACATTGTTCATTTGTTTATCATTTGAATATTGATGTAAGCCTATAATGGCATATTGACTTTGTATTGGCTATGTCCAACAATTGCACTTGTGCAAATGGTTCAATATGAGAAAAAGTATTAGACTAATTCCTATGTATCGATTATGTTGTCTAAATGAGAAGCCTATGTAAGATTCATATGCGAGGAGTCTAAGTAAACTCCATATGTAGTACGTGAGAGGTTTATGTAAACCTCACTATATATCTATGAAAAGTTTTTTAATTTTTTCGAGTTTTATTCTATGAAATGTAATGACAAATATTAAGAGGCTAGTCTTAGTCCTCTCTGAGGACGATGGAGCCGGTTACGTCTAGGGGTGATCCCCGG